TGGGATGTCAAAACAGGATAAGAAATTAAATCCTCTGATAAAAACTACAAAGATATTCTTGCATAATTTAAGATTCCACTCCAATAGCAGAACCAGATTTCAGAAGGTAATATTAACAATATTTATATTTTTAGCCTCCAATTACATTACAACACTCCTCATTTCCAAAAAAGAAATATTTCAAGCTAAAGGAGCTTTAATTCTGAAAGGAGAGTTTATAAATCAATCCGGTATAGATTTAAAGACATTGTTTAAATAAAAAGGAACTTGCTTTTTAGAAGAATTAAAGCAAAAATGAATTTAATAATATATCAAACAAAAGTTATAATTACAATTAAGATTTAATTCATTTTTTTAATTCTGTTTTTATTAGTTTCACTCTTAATCTTTACTTCGAAAGCTAGGTAAACTCTTATTTTTTAAAGTTTTATTCCATTTCTGTCATTTATACAATTCATTTAGATAATATTATTTAAATATAAGCTCAGTTTATTGTAGGGATTATTTATTTAAATATCATAAAAGTTATTATCAATTAAATTATAAATGATACTATATGAAATTAATAATCTAAACAGAGAACAGTATGGAAAATGAAGAGTTTAAAATAAAGATCGATATAATTACTTGAAAGAAAACTAAATTAACACAAAATTCTATAATAATTTTTTATTATTAGTTTATAAATAGTAAAAGATAAAAGTTAAAACATTTAGATTGAATAATTTCTTTATTCTAACTAATTTTTTCATAACCTATTTAATTTATATTAAAAGTATTAGATAGTATAAAAGACTGTAAAGATACATTTATCATCAACAAGTATTATATTCCTTAGAATGATATAGATTTAATGAGATAATCATTATATCTTCTCTAACAGCCAACTAACAATCTTAATTACTGATTAACTTAAAGAACCACGTGAAGTTTTACATTTATCAAATAATTAACATTTATAAATTACTGTGTTCATGTATAATCATTGTTAACTTCAAGAGGATTTTCAAGAAATTAATTAATATCTAAACCAAAAAAATACCCCTTAAGACTTTGAAAACTCATCAACTAATTAAATTTTACAATTAAATTAATAAATTACCCATAATTTATAATAAATAAAAAGCAAATCTACTAAAGAAATTTGAAAAAAGATGAATAAAAGTAAACCATAAATATTCACAATAAAACGAAATTTTTCTTCTCTACAACTAGGAGATTACCCCTTAAGCTGAATTGGAATTTGTAGAACTTATTAAATATATTAAAAGTAAAAAATTATGATAAATGTACATCTTCCCTAGTCTCATCGGGGGTTTAAGAAGTTGCCCTGTCTGCTTGTCCTTAAATCTTACCTTCTTTTTTTTTTCTGATCTCTTTGAGTGTCAAGCATTCGCTCCAGAGTATTGTAGAACACTATCAACTTACTGTGGGGTCAGAGAGGACAGCCTCTCAGATGACCCAAATTATGACCTCATAAAAAATAAAAGTTAGTTAATTTTTTTTTTAGAATACTGTGGAAAAAAGTTAGGAACAAATAACTAATATCTTTTTTATAAGGATGATTTTAAGAGAGTGTAAAATCGAACTTAGTATTGAATAAAGCTAAATGTGCAATTATAAAATTAAAATAATATCAAAAAAAATAAATATATTAAAGGAATATCAATTGTTGAAATTAAAATAAAGAATTAATTACTTAGACAAAGATTTAAAATGGATAACCTAATTTAGGGTTATAAAGAAAGAATAAATATATAGAATGCATCTATCAGACCTCATTTCTAATATATGTTGGATGCATTAAATTTTAATTAAGTTCAAGTTCATTAAAAGCATATTAATTAATTATATAAAAGATCGTTGAAATTAATAATGAGAGTTCCAAAAACTANGTTATGATTAGTCTATCCGTCTTTGGGATGTCAAAACAGGATAAGAAATTAAATCCTCTGATAAAAACTACAAAGATATTCTTGCATAATTTAAGATTCCACTCCAATAGCAGAACCAGATTTCAGAAGGTAATATTAACAATATTTATATTTTTAGCCTCCAATTACATTACAACACTCCTCATTTCCAAAAAAGAAATATTTCAAGCTAAAGGAGCTTTAATTCTGAAAGGAGAGTTTATAAATCAATCCGGTATAGATTTAAAGACATTGTTTAAATAAAAAGGAACTTGCTTTTTAGAAGAATTAAAGCAAAAATGAATTTAATAATATATCAAACAAAAGTTATAATTACAATTAAGATTTAATTCATTTTTTTAATTCTGTTTTTATTAGTTTCACTCTTAATCTTTACTTCGAAAGCTAGGTAAACTCTTATTTTTTAAAGTTTTATTCCATTTCTGTCATTTATACAATTCATTTAGATAATATTATTTAAATATAAGCTCAGTTTATTGTAGGGATTATTTATTTAAATATCATAAAAGTTATTATCAATTAAATTATAAATGATACTATATGAAATTAATAATCTAAACAGAGAACAGTATGGAAAATGAAGAGTTTAAAATAAAGATCGATATAATTACTTGAAAGAAAACTAAATTAACACAAAATTCTATAATAATTTTTTATTATTAGTTTATAAATAGTAAAAGATAAAAGTTAAAACATTTAGATTGAATAATTTCTTTATTCTAACTAATTTTTTCATAACCTATTTAATTTATATTAAAAGTATTAGATAGTATAAAAGACTGTAAAGATACATTTATCATCAACAAGTATTATATTCCTTAGAATGATATAGATTTAATGAGATAATCATTATATCTTCTCTAACAGCCAACTAACAATCTTAATTACTGATTAACTTAAAGAACCACGTGAAGTTTTACATTTATCAAATAATTAACATTTATAAATTACTGTGTTCATGTACACACCTTTTTTAAGAATCAGAACTATATAATCATTGTTAACTTCAAGAGGATTTTCAAGAAATTAATTAATATCTAAACCAAAAAAATACCCCTTAAGACTTTGAAAACTCATCAACTAATTAAATTTTACAATTAAATTAATAAATTACCCATAATTTATAATAAATAAAAAGCAAATCTACTAAAGAAATTTGAAAAAAGATGAATAAAAGTAAACCATAAATATTCACAATAAAACGAAATTTTTCTTCTCTACAACTAGGAGATTACCCCTTAAGCTGAATTGGAATTTGTAGAACTTATTAAATATATTAAAAGTAAAAAATTATGATAAATGTACATCTTCCCTAGTCTCATCGGGGGTTTAAGAAGTTGCCCTGTCTGCTTGTCCTTAAATCTTACCTTCTTTTTTTTTTCTGATCTCTTTGAGTGTCAAGCATTCGCTCCAGAGTATTGTAGAACACTATCAACTTACTGTGGGGTCAGAGAGGACAGCCTCTCAGATGACCCAAATTATGACCTCATAAAAAATAAAAGTTAGTTAATTTTTTTTTTAGAATACTGTGGAAAAAAGTTAGGAACAAATAACTAATATCTTTTTTATAAGGATGATTTTAAGAGAGTGTAAAATCGAACTTAGTATTGAATAAAGCTAAATGTGCAATTATAAAATTAAAATAATATCAAAAAAAATAAATATATTAAAGGAATATCAATTGTTGAAATTAAAATAAAGAATTAATTACTTAGACAAAGATTTAAAATGGATAACCTAATTTAGGGTTATAAAGAAAGAATAAATATATAGAATGCATCTATCAGACCTCATTTCTAATATATGTTGGATGCATTAAATTTTAATTAAGTTCAAGTTCATTAAAAGCATATTAATTAATTATATAAAAGATCGTTGAAATTAATAATGAGAGTTCCAAAAACTACTTCAGATTAACTTTTGAATCTTCTTGTTAAGCCTCTTGTAGTATTAAATAATGAAGAGATAGCGTAAATAAGGAGAAAGATTCGAGATAGATACAATTTATGGTAAGAATGGAATATATCAAATGAAAAGGCAAACAATAGTAATTGTAAAGGAAAATTAAGTTATAAGCCAAAAAAATTATGAATCACTATTAAATAAAGGAGGATATAATTGAAATACCATCAATAAAGAGCAACATATTAACACTTAGTAAATAGTCATTTGAAATAGAATATAAATACATTATAAAAAAATTAGTATTGAGATGAAAAATAAAAAAGGACCCAAGCTTGTAGAATATCGAAATAAAGAAGTAAGCAGCTACAATTAATATGAAAAGATAATATGACTAATATAATTTATGTTTTCTCTTCTCCCTAACAGAGTTGAATAGTAATAATAATAATAATATGCTAATTTTCAAAATAATATAGCATTAGATTTAAATTAGAAAATAATTCTACTGATAAAATAATCAATAACTTATCGATTAAGGATTTTTAATCTATTTTCTCCTTGAATAATAAACATAAAATATGTATAAATTGAATAGAAAGATATTAGATGATTATTTCAAACTTTATTCTTTTAAATGCTGTAAAATAATTCTTGAAAACTGAAATACTCCTTTTCTGTGTCTAAGCTTATTAAAAGACCAATGAGAAGACCGGATTAAGAAAGAAATTTATATCTTTTATTCAATGACTTAAAATTAAACTTTTTCATTTATTCATAAGCAATATTTAATGTTTTTTTGCGCATATTAAATGTAAATTTTATTAATCATTTCTATAGATCTTAAGAAAATGATTAGATATTAGATTGAGTCTTAATAGTATTGGTGTGAATGAAAATATTAGATATAAAATATTAAAAAAATGATTTAGTAATCAAATTGAAAGTGACGTTATCAAGATGATCATAATGACGAAATAGAAACAGTTTGTTACAATTAAAATTGTAAAGAATTTAGATTATATTGCTTTAAATGTATTAAGAATAGTAGAATTCATCATGATCATTTTTATGTAATTGAAAAAATTAATATTTTGATAGATTTTATTGAAAGTAAAAATATGGAATGTGATAATTTGATTAATGGTCTTAATACATATATAGACAATTTGAATTAATCATTTTCTTTATCAGAAATGGTAATCAGATATAAATATTCATTATAAAATGAGAGATTAGTACATTTGATTTCATTTTAAATAAATTATTATTTACATTCAACTATCAAATTCATTGGTTACAAATAATCAATCACAAAAATTATTTCAGAATAGGCTTCAAAATTAACTTATACATTTAATAATGTATATTAATACTTATTATTATCATAATTTCATTATTATTAGATTGATGATATTTGATAAAGGTAATCATATAGTATTAATCCTTAGGTTATTATTTACAAAGCATTGATTATTGATCCTAGTATGTTAATTCCTTATTTGATAAGGTAAATTGATTGATAATTATATTAATAAGTGCAAGTGTAANGGATTTTTAATCTATTTTCTCCTTGAATAATAAACATAAAATATGTATAAATTGAATAGAAAGATATTAGATGATTATTTCAAACTTTATTCTTTTAAATGCTGTAAAATAATTCTTGAAAACTGAAATACTCCTTTTCTGTGTCTAAGCTTATTAAAAGACCAATGAGAAGACCGGATTAAGAAAGAAATTTATATCTTTTATTCAATGACTTAAAATTAAACTTTTTCATTTATTCATAAGCAATATTTAATGTTTTTTTGCGCATATTAAATGTAAATTTTATTAATCATTTCTATAGATCTTAAGAAAATGATTAGATATTAGATTGAGTCTTAATAGTATTGGTGTGAATGAAAATATTAGATATAAAATATTAAAAAAATGATTTAGTAATCAAATTGAAAGTGACGTTATCAAGATGATCATAATGACGAAATAGAAACAGTTTGTTACAATTAAAATTGTAAAGAATTTAGATTATATTGCTTTAAATGTATTAAGAATAGTAGAATTCATCATGATCATTTTTATGTAATTGAAAAAATTAATATTTTGATAGATTTTATTGAAAGTAAAAATATGGAATGTGATAATTTGATTAATGGTCTTAATACATATATAGACAATTTGAATTAATCATTTTCTTTATCAGAAATGGTAATCAGATATAAATATTCATTATAAAATGAGAGATTAGTACATTTGATTTCATTTTAAATAAATTATTATTTACATTCAACTATCAAATTCATTGGTTACAAATAATCAATCACAAAAATTATTTCAGAATAGGCTTCAAAATTAACTTATACATTTAATAATGTATATTAATACTTATTATTATCATAATTTCATTATTATTAGATTGATGATATTTGATAAAGGTAATCATATAGTATTAATCCTTAGGTTATTATTTACAAAGCATTGATTATTGATCCTAGTATGTTAATTCCTTATTTGATAAGGTAAATTGATTGATAATTATATTAATAAGTGCAAGTGTATTAATTTATTATTAATTATTCTAAATATAAGAAAATTAAATAAAAATTTAGGAAGCAATCACTTGGTTAGACAAAGCATTATCTATTGATCTTAAACATGTTAATTCCTTAAGTGAGAACAGTAGATTAAATAATAATAATATTAATAGGTTAATACTTAAGATTACTGAAAAAGCATAATGAATCTTTATAATTACTTGATTACGTACTGCCCATCAATGCACAACATACATTTTCTCTTAATCATAAAGGTATCATATCTTTTTATTTGTTAGGAGATTGTTTATATTGAAACAATATCAGTTTATATATAAGAAGTTTATAGCAATAAAAGAAGCTCTAATTTATTTTTTGAAATCATTAAAGATTGATCCAAATAATCAATATACAAAAAACTAAAAGGGTATGCTTAATTTATTAAATTAGAATTTTGCTAAAGGAAATTAAATAAATGAATATTCAATCTATATTAATTTAGAAAATAATTATATCATTATTCATTTGATTAAAATAGAAAATCGTTTTTTTTAGTTTAAATATAATATTTCTTTGGTCATTACAAGAAATTTACTATTTCAAATTAAGATTTATTACATAAATTTAAATTTTTTATGTATTTTTTTTTAATTTTACTTCAGTATTTATACAATATTGGGTTTATAACTCTTCTATGGTAAATAACACATCATTTGTTGAAAAACTGCATTTTCAGAAGAAGTTTTAATATTTAAAATTGTAATAACATAATTAGAAATCAATCAATTAGTTTAGCTTTTCAAATCTTTATCATTTATTAACTCAGAATGGATTTTAGTATTTTAAAAGCAAAATGAAAAAAAATTTTTTAATTCTTTGTCAAGATTGATTTCTTATCTTCTTGGATCTCATTTCATATACAATTTAAAATATTCAATAGCATTTGTCATAAAGATAATTTACACGATTATGATAAATGTATTTATTGTTCCTCTTAAAACAGGTGTTATTTCAATTTAAAATAGAATCATTGATTACATTTACTTAGTAAATTCAAAACCAATTTTATTTCTATGGATAGCAAAAGTTGAAATGAATTAAAAATCTCAAATAGAATAATAAGTTATTCTTAGAATTGCTGACAAAAATAAGTAACTTAATAAGAGAAAGAAGAATAATGGAATGGAGGTCCAATTCTTTAATTCAAAAATAATTAATTACAATCTGCTTAGCTTACATAAAGTTTGTAAAGATCTAATATGTATCCTTCTACTAATATAATTCTTCTTTTAGGTCATTTTATCAATGAGAGTAGTGATGCAAAATTTTAAGCAAATTAGTCTAAAATTTGAACAATATTGATTGAGAGATAGAATAAAAATATGAAGATTATATCCTAATCTAAAAAAAGCTATTACTATTCATTATAATAAAAATTACCAAAAGCTAAAATCTCTAAAGTATAAATACATCTCCTTAATTAAAATCAGCTTATTTAATTTAAAATCAACTAAAATTTATTTTCTAAAGCTTTTTATTTAAAGTACCTAAAATTTAGTTAAATAAATTTTCATCAAAATTAACATAGCCATTATACATAATAGATCTTAATATAATGAGATCAATGGATAAAAATCTTGTGCTTTGTATTTTTATTATTTGGCCATTACTAAGATGTTAATTGACTATTGAGTGCAAAATATGCCAATAATCTATTTCATCTATTTGAATAAGGAAATTTGTATTTAAATTACATAAGTAAGCATTATTCTTTATATACTGATGAGTAGTGCAATATTTATATTATTAATATATTTTTTAATTATAGTCATTTATATTCTAGATTTAAGAATCCTGATTTAGAATTAGATGTAAATTAATTATAAAAATTCACAATTAAATATATTAATTTTATATATAAATAATAACAATAAAAGATAAAGTCAGGGTGTTTTGATAAGACCTTGTGCTAAAATGAGTAGTAAATATTCTAATATTTTAATGAAATATTAATTTTAATATTGCTTGGGGATATATTAAGAGGTGGAAATTGTGCTATAATTCTTTTAATTTTTTTAAAATTGGCTTTATTCTATGATAAAGTTGGGATTGTTATCTTATTTTGTTAAATTGAATAGCTTAAATACGTTTGAAATTTTTAATATGATTGGTGTTATTATTATGATTTTATCTGAAAAATTTGATAATATTAATCAATCTGGATATGAATTTATACTCGTTTGAAAGTAGTTATCTTCATAAATAACATATCAATTTATTGATTATATATTAAATTATAGGAAAATAATAATTTTATAGTGAAGTGAATAAAATAGAATAGAACTCAAAAATGGTAGCACTAATAGCTCTTAATAAGCTTAATGTCAATAAATACTTTATAGCATCCTGAATTGTTATAATCTATATATACAAAAAAATAAACGCTTAATTATAGAAATTCAATGAAAAGGAGTAACAAAATTCTTACAGGTATTTTTTCTTAAGGTTATGGAAGGGAAATGAGAATTTTATCTTACTTCTCTCAAATTTCAAAAGCATGATTCATTATTTTTGTAAATAATCACTTCAATTAATTATTTTTTAATATTCAAAATATTCTAATTATCAAATAAATTTAGAAAAATTCTGATTATTAAAATAATAACAATTAATCATATAGAGGATTCTGTGCAATTAATTTTTTAGTAAAATATGTATTATTTAAACTTTTGGAATTCTTGATTATAGCCAAGCATCGAAATGTACCCTTTAGCAAGGTATTTTCCCATATCTCAAGTTTTGAAATTGTATAAATTGTATAAATTGTATAATGTTCATTTAGAATCAAGTAATCGATAACTAGAGAAGTATTTAGAATTTGATGCCATCCTAGAATCTATTCCTCAAAAGGTAATTAAATACAAATGAATTGCCGACTTGTCTTTTCTTTATGTTCCTGATCAAATATAATATTGCTTTTCTCATTAGTAATATTTCTAGACTCGTAATCCTAGAGAAGAAGGACAGACATCAAGAAACTCGTAAAGATAAACAAGCCACAACATTGCATAGAGTACTTCATGAGACAGCTTAACAGAAACAAGGAATCAGGCTCTATGCTAAAGCCAATTAGAATAAAGATAAGGATACAAGAAAATTCGAATAGTCTTGAAGTAAAATATTGGTGCAATATTCTAATTCTATTTAATAATAGATAGGGATTTCAAGATTCATAGCTTGTTCTTTTACAATTTTTGAATCAAAGAAATGGATTTTTTTTTTAAATATCCAAATAAAACTGAATTGCTACCTAAACAGAAATAAGAAAATAGGTCTATAATTCAGGAATTTTTTATTTAGAAAGTATTAAATAAAATTTATTCTTATATAATTCACATTTTTACTCTATTAATATTCATTTTGTAGGTTCTATATAATCTTTAAAATTTTATCTTATGTAGAAAATTTTAAGACTCTGAATGAGTACTAAAAATTGAGGTTGCAAATGGAAGAAAGTTCAATCTATAAGTCTAATATGGTGTACATTCTTGAAAATTTTAAAAAATGTAGAAAATGCTTAGTGAAAAAACATTCTTAATTTAAAAAAAAACAAGACAAAATTTATCTACATTTCTTCTTTGGATATTCTAATGTTGTGGAAAATTTTATTAAGCTTAAAAATGGAGAATATTATCAGCAATAAATATGAGAGAGAAATGTTTGAACGAAAATTTTTCCTTCAATTAATCTTTTTCGATTTTATAAAATTAAAATTTTCTGATTTCATTTTTATTGTATATATCTTCTGTCTATCTTTGAGGAGATAATTTTAAGAATTGTAAACATGCAAAAAAGTTAAATAATTGTAGACAAAAAATAATGATTAGAAAGATGATTTTTTTCTGTATTTTATAAAATTTTCCCTATATATTTAGCAATCATTCTCATAACAACAGAAGATATCCTAAAGCGATAAACAATCCAAGAATGTATCCTGAGTCTGTTGTTGTGTTATTAACTGTAGTGTTGGTATTATTGTCTGTGGTATTTAGTTAAACTACAACTGCTGTGCAAACTCAGCAGTTGCTTGTTGATGCATTCCAAGTATATGTATATCCAGAAACTAAGAAGCAATCGTTTGAAGACAATGTTGATGGATCTGTTGCTGTGCAGGCTCCGCTTACTAGAGTACAAACCTATTAAGTCTTTTTATCCCAATTTAAGAATCTTGTACAAGCTACGTTGGTAGCTTAATTTGTAGCATAAGTATGAGTAGCACATTTACTAGCAACTGCGGTTGCTCCAGTTCCTGAAGCAACAGTCAAAAAACATCTATCTCTGGCAACTTAGCAGGCTGTTTAATCATTATTAGCAACGGTACATGCAGTCATTAATGCACAAGTTCCAGTTCCAGCAGCAGCTCCAGTTGCTGTTGATTAAGTGAATACACAAATTCCATCCAAACCTTCTGAATTGCATGCTATCTTAGATGTATATGTTGAGCAATTGACTTTTGGAATGCTAGCAGTTCCATTAGAAACACAAGTTGACAAGGCTACAGAACAAAAGTTAGTTGCTGTTCCATTTAAATATCAGCACAAGTAAGTAATCTACATTTTGCAGTATTATTATTTGTAGCAGATGCTAATTCCCATTAGCATGCTCCATCAGATCCAACTGATGTTGTGCAAGCAGTTTAAGTTGTGTAAGATGTACAGGCTCCTTTAAGTAAAAAAGTAGTTCCATCTAATGTGCAGGTTGTTAATTATGAAGAACATGTTGCGTGTGTTGTGCCTGACGGATCGGCGCGGGGTTGATCTCTGCAACTGCTTGATGTGGTATCCCATGTACAAATACCAGTGGATTTAACAACTCCAGATGTATATAGAGTTCCCTTATTATCGAAGCAACATCCTACCCAAGCAGTATATGGTGGGCGTGATTCTAAAGCTATGCAGCCAGTTGTTCCATTTGTTGTGCACTTGCTACTAGCAATTTAACAATCTGAATGAGTTGTGTAGAAAGCATCACCGCATGAGGTGTAAGGTTTACATACTTTTGGATCTGAAGAATTCAAGGCTGGTACTGATTGAATACAAGCTCCGTCATATCCAGTGACACAACCTCCATCAGTGTTAGTTTCTGTACATAAAGTAATTCCAACACAATTTGAACCATTAGTTGTGCATTTATTACTTATCCATTTGCATGAACTATCATTATTCCAATTTAAACTCTTGTATGATGTATATCTGAAACTAGCCCCTTTAGTTCCATCAGTATTTAGATATTTATCAATCCACAAGCATGGTCCATTTGTTCCTTCTATGCAAGCTGCTCTTACTGAAGTTTGTTCACAATTTTATACTCTAGCACATTTTCCACTTGCTCCAGCTGTACATCCAGCTCTTTAAGCCTAACATGCAGCATGAGTAGTTCCACTAAAATCTTAGCAATCTTTATTTCTGCATTTATTTTATGCACTATCCCAAGCACATACAGTACCATTCAAAGCAGTTGTGCAAGCTACAACAATAGTGACAGCTGAGCAAGTTGATTTAGTAACGCATCCTCCACCATTCTTTGTTGTACTATTTAAAAAATATCCAGCGCAAGCAGCTTCACTTGTTAAAGTAATTGGAGCAGTGCTACAATTTTTAATTGTACAATAACCAGGGGAAGTGATTATATTTGAAGCATTTAAAACAGCTGGTATCCATTCACATTATTAATTTGTCGAGGATGTGATACATCCAGCTTGACTTAAGGCTTAGAAGCATGTTCCTCTTGTAACTCAATTTGTTCCATTGGTTGTGCAGGTAGAGATAGCTTGTTTGCATAAAGCATCAGTAGCAAAGGCAAAACCTTCACAAACTTTAGTTTACATTTAACATTATCTAAAGTACATCCAGCTAAATAGGTATTACATTCATCAGCAGTTGCATCAGGAGCATTGTCACATGATTTTGTAATACAAGCTATTCCTGTCCAATAGCAAGGATCTCCAGCCTTATTATAATAACATTACTTCTATGTCATAGTTTCACATGTTGCAGGAATTTCTACACATCCTTATCCAGAATCTGAGACTGTACATTTATTAGTAATGTAAGCTCTACATTTAGTATCATCATTATAAAATGCAGTTGCAGGAGCAGTAGCACAAGATTTGTAAGCACATTATGTTCCATTCCATCCACATGGATCACCATTGGCGTTGATTTAACATTATTCTTTATCAATATAACTTGAAAAATCCTCCTAAAGTTGGATTACCACCGCTGCTTGGAGTGGCAAAAATAGTACATTTTACTTTGCAGTATTGTATTAAGCATAGCAATCATTATGAGTTGTAGTGGATGTTGGAGCACTGGTACAAGACTTATCTTAGAAAGCAGGTGTTGGCAAATTAGCATTTGTATTCCAAACACAAACTCCATTACTTGCTTTTGTTTATACATTGTTCTTCAATTGTATATGAACTGCATGCTCCTCTAGCCATACACCCTTAAACGGCAGCACCATTTGCAGCTCTGACTGTGCAAGCAAGGGTTGCATCAACAACAACACATTCAATATGAGTATCGAATAAAGTTGAGGCTTCTATGTTGCCACAATTCAAATCAACACATGTCGTATTAGTTGGGTTCCAGAAACAACTTCCACCACTAGTATTAAATTTACATTAGAGGGAAGATTTGTAAGAAGCGCAAGTTGCTCTGGCTTGGCATGCTCCTAATCTAGCAACAGTACAAGATTGCTAATAAGCTGAACATTCAGTGTCATCATCTCGAGTAGCATCAGTTGCTGCAGTATCGCAAGTCTTTCTTACACATGATGCACCTACAACTACACATTCTCCTTCAACTGAGTAAAGTCAAGATGCTTAGTTTAATCTGCGCATTTTGATGCAATAGTTTGGCATGCAATATTTCCAGAATTTACAGTACAAGTGTTGAGATAACTATTGCAATTTGTATGATTAAATGTAACCGCAACATTTGAACAAGATTTTGCTATACATGCAGATGCTCCATTATTTGTACATCCAGCCTTCATTTCATTACAATTTGTACTGCTGTAATTTCCTGTTCCTAAGTAAACAGCATCACAAGTTGTTGCAGCTGATGCAGCAACGCAAGTAGTATCAGTATTTGTACTTGCAATACAAAGACCAGCTCCTGATTTATAACAACTTGTCAATTCACTTGTATATCCTGAACATTATGCTTATTATTAGACACAAGCACTCTTTGCTTTATTTACACTACAACCTACATTAAATGATTAGCAAATTTCGTACGTTAGAGTTCCAGTAGATCCAGTTATTTTAGCACAATCGGTTGCAACATTTGAAATAGTGATACAATTAGAACCTTATAAATAACTTTTTGAGGTAGCAGTTTTTGTGCAACTTAAAGTTGTGCCTGCATATTATTCGCAGGTTGATTTAAAGTATTAACATTTACTCCCATCAGAAATGGATATACAACCTGTGCTGTAGACTTAACATTGAGTATGATCAAGGCCTGATAATAAAATTGCACTACAATTTACATCAGTGATAGGATAGCAAGAGTTATCTAACCAAAGACATGAAAGGGGGCCAGTTGTTTATGCTGTGCTTTATTTTATGTAGTGTATAACCTGCAGTTGGCCTTCTCTTCTTAACAACAACAGTACCATCTTTTAGATTGGTACACTTTGCATTATATTGTGCGCATACAGCATCTGTAAAGCCAGTTCCAGTAATATATGCAAATTCTGTAGCAACATTGGCATCAACAACTGTGAGACAAGCTGTTCCGCTCCATGCACAAAGACCTGCAGATAATGTAGAACAAGAATTTTGTATTAAATAAGCAGGACATGTTAGTAATTTTTCTTAGCAAGCTGTTCCATAAACATTTGCCACACAATCTGTGTCATAAGATCCACAATTAGTATTTTTTAATCCTGTACCAGTAATTGAAGCACAATTAGCAAAACGTAAGCAATCAGTAGTATTATCAAAACATTTACTTTATACAGAACTAGCACAAGTGTTTCCGGTTGTATAACCTGAACAAGTAGTCTTATATTCTTAACATCCAGCACCATCTTTTAAGGATGTACAGGAAGATTGATATAGCTAACATTTAGAATGATCCAAACCTGTTAATCCAGTCACTGATGCGCATTCAGAGGCTGAGGTCACTGATTGGCAATTTTTGTTCATTGCACAGTATCCTGCATTCCCACTTGCACTTAACCTGAAACAATTAGCTGATGTTGATCCGTATCCAGCACAAGTAGATTAAATAGCAATACAACCAGTACCATCTTTTCTAACTGAGCATGTAGAATCTAAAGCTTAACAATCTGCAAATGTCAAACCTGATCCCGTTTTTAAAGTACAATCTGAAGTACAAGATGGTGAAGATGCAGCACCTACAATGTTTGTACATCCTGCTCTATATCCCATACACATTGTTTGAGTACCTTTGAATGTTGAGCAAGCTCCTGTAGCAAAAGAGGACAATACATAACATCTATCAACAATCCACTTACAATCATCATTTGCTGTTAGATTTGTGAGAGTTTTATGGCATTAAGCTGATGTCATATAATCTGAACAATTTGCTGATTTTGATACACATCCTTAAGCTCCAACTTTGTAAACAACTGTACAGGTTTCGCTTGGTGTTGGGTAAGCTAAGCATTCTGTATAACTATCATAAGAGGTAGTATCGGGAGCATCAGCACAAGTGGCATTTCTACAAGCTAATCCAGTCCAAACACAATTCTTATTTTTTGATGTAAATTTAAAATTTTCTTATGTTGTATAAGATGTGCAGGCAGTTGCCAATATTAACATGCTGTTCCTCCATTATTCACTTTGCATTAATTGAATGTAGTATTATAACTGTTGTGAGAGGTTAAGGTAATATTTGCACAAGATTTATCAACACAACCCCATTCCAATAACAATCTCCACTTGCCTTAGATCCATCTCTACAATTACTTGAAACTAATGATGAACAACTAGATGGCTTAGCTATACATCCATCAGCAGTATTATTTGAAATGCAAGTGTTTAGATAAGTTTAACAACCAGATAAAGTAAATCCTCCTGCAGAGAGTGCACCTGTTGTTCCCACTGTACTAGCAGTAGCGCAAGATTTTTCAACGCATGATGTAGAAGATGAGACCCATAGACATGTTGGGAATCCAACTCTTGTAATTTCACAATTTTCTGATGATTTTCTATCTGCACATGTTGTTGGTAAATCTTAACATCCTTAAATTGTCAAAGAACCATTAACAGTCACGGGATTGTTAGCTACACAAGTTGATATGTGTCCTGTGCATTATGAAGTTGTAGTGAATGTCTTAGAGGCAGTTGAACAAGCTTTGTTAATACATTAAGATCCATTCCATCCACAAGGTTAACCATTAGCTTTCAAATTGCAAGCAGCTTCAATAGTGATAGCTTCGCATTTAAGTGGAAGTGGACACATCCAGTGCCTGAATTACTCAAGGTACATGTAGAGTGATAAGTTTAACAGTCAGCATGAGTAGTTGTGGCAGATGAAGCTAACACACATTATTTCTTATAGCATTTCCCATTCCAAATGCATGCTCTACTACTTGTATCTTTGTCACAAATAGCCAAAACAAATGAATTTTCACATTTTTTTTATACAAATCCTGCGCTTGTTTAATTTACCGTACAGGTATTTAAGAAGGCTTAGCAGAGATCATGAGTAGTGTTAGTTGCTGGTGCATTAACACATGTTTTATCCTTACAACTTGAACTTGCAGTATTCCAGAAACAAGTTGATGCTGAAGAATTCTTAACACAAGCAGCTTCTAAAGTTATTGCAGCACATGTTGTATTTGTAACACATCCACTTCCTGTTTTTGTTATGCAATTATTTCCAGTGAAATACGCTTCACATGCATCGTTGGTAGTCATTGTTGTTGGAACATTGGCACATGTTCTATTTTAACATCCACCACATGACTTAACGGTACAAGTAGATAAATAAGAAGTACATAAATCATGAGTGTTATTTGTTGTAGGGGCATTTGCACATGTTTTTTCTTTACAAGTTGTATCCCAAATGCAATCAAAATTGCTTGAATTTTTTAATACAAGCTGCTTGAACATTAGCAACAGAACAAGCTCCATTAGCAACACAACCACCACTTGATTTAGTGATACATCCTGTTAAAAATCCTGCGCATGCTGAATTAGTTTTCATAGCAGTTGGAGCGTTTGCACATGTCTTATCTACACAGGGTGTTCCTGTCCAATAACAATCACCACCTGAATTATTTTTGATACATGATGCTTAAATTGTTGCAGCAGCACATGTAGTTCTAGTTACACAACCTCCATTTGCTTTTGCTGTGCATGTTCCATCAGTTCTAAATGTCTTACAAGCATCATCAGTTGACAAACAGGTTGGTGCATTATCACAAATTCTATCTTTACATGCAGCTCCATCCCTATAGCAAGCAGTTTTTTTTAATTTATTCCAAACACATTAAATTTCTAATGTTTAATCACTGCAGTTATTTCAACTATCAACACATCCTCCTTCGGTTTTTTTGTACATGTTGAAATCACATCTCTGCAATCTTTATCTGTTTCGAATGTTGCTGGTAATTTATCACAATTGTTGGCATCAACACAAGAGTTATTTGTTGTATCCCAATAGCATAAAGTTCCGGCAGCATTTTTGACACATGGAAGTTACTTTTTGTAAGTACTACAAGCATCAATTTCAACACAATGAGTTCCATCGGTAATACATCTATTACTGATTGCTTAACATTCAGAATCAAGTGTTTTAGCAAAAGGTGTACATCCTGTAAAGAATATACATTTGCTTTGAACCCAAGCACAAGCGGCATCATTTCCACAATCAGTACATGGTTTAGCTTTTGGACAATCTGTTTCAGCAAATTTATCACAATATGCTACATTAGTCACTGTTGGAGTGACAGGAGTTGTTGAAACTCCACAAGTTTTCTTTGTTGTATCTCATGAACATTCAAGTGAAACATTTTTATGCAATCTCCTGATAACAATTATGAACATGCACATAATGTTAAACTTTATGTTTGACTTGTTACTAAAGCAAGCAACAATGAGAGTATGATGAATTTATTATTCATTAAAAGTATTAAATTCAAATAAAACTGGAAATCGCTTTTAAATTCATAATCAAATTAAATATTTTAATTTAATTAAAGATGCAATAATAGTATCGTTTTTCTAAATCAGGTTTGGATTTTAATATTAATTATCATCATTAATTAATTTATTATATGTTCTAATTTTATAAGGAAAGGTGGAGATAGCTTCAAAATGTAGAATAGTCTGATTGGAAGTATTATGAACCTTTGTATCAGATTAAATTATTTTGTTTATATTCCAAACTATAAACAAATAAGGAATTCAGATCAATTTATTCCAACTCCTGTTTCCTCCTCATCTGATCTGTAAGTTCATTGAAAATATGGTAAATTCTTCCCTTATATGTCGATAGAATTACGCTTAGATGAAAGATTTGAAAAAATAATTATTATAGAATAGCTCAAAATTTGAATTTTGGATTCTCTAGCAAATTAATTGTGAGCTTTAAAATTGTGTTGCTATTAAAATTTGGAAAAAACTAATGAAATACAATATTTTTCTATTTTCACAATTCAAAATTATAAAATTTCAGATAATTATACTAATTGAATTATTTCATAAACCCAAGTTACAAATAGTTTGTTGCTTGAATAAATGAGAAATTAATTAACTATAAATATCAAATGATTTTTTATTTTTTTTTTTATTTTTTGTACATGTAAAATATGGTGATAATTGTATCTTCTTCAATTTATATCGCCAAGAAATTAGAACTTCATTGTGGAAATATAACAAGATAAATTCTCATTTGAAAAGGTACTAATTCTATTTAACAAATGATATTGTAAAATTGAAATAAGAAATAATTAACCTTTTTTTAATTCAATAAAACAGAAGGATTTTTGTTTATAAAATTTCTAAATAAATATCAACTGAATTCTGGGCTCCTTCTTCTTATATTTATTTATTAAATGTTGGCGGCTTGGAGATATGTATAATTTTCTTGTTATTTTGCGATGTTTCAATTTAAATATAATTAAAATAATATTAACAAAAATAACGATATTCATTCAAAATAATTCTAAGGATATGCATTTCAAGTACATTTGTTAAGTATTGTTATTTGATTATATTAATTTCATTTAACTCCAAGATATTTTTTTGTTAGTATTAGAAAAATTTGTCTGATTTTAATAATTTATAATGAAATATATTTTATTAAATTCTAATTATAGAAAAAATTTCTCTTTTTCTATTTGATCAATCTTTGCCTTTATTATTTTGCAAAGTCTCTTAATTGATATTTAAGCACTTTTCAAAGATGTTTTTTATAGAATCAACAAATGTTAGTGAATAAAAAGATTATTGGAAGTAAACTAAATGAATGAGGCCATTAGCACGCAATAAGTTTTTCACACAAATTCCAGCAATAATTCACAAATTTTAGAAATATTTCAGATATTATATGACAATATTCTTCCATCCAACTTATATTAATTATGCTTATTTTCATAAAAATTAGAATTAATAATTGTTTATTATTTGGTAATTTTATAACATTCTGTTTAGAGGCAAGAAAAATATTTTCACTTCAAACTAAGACTGTTATGATTCAATATTTTTTCCTCCTTTTAGAAGTATAAATAATAAATCAATGAAGGTGGTTAGAGAATTGCCAACTACTCGTTTCTATCATAAAACAAATTCACTGTTCCTCTTCATATGAAATAGATAAACAATAATAATGTAAATGGGGGCTATATACACAAAAATCTATTCTTAAAACAAATAATAGGATTCCATTGTTCACCTCTTGAGATAATATAGAAATTACACTTAATTATTATGATGTAAAATAATATAATCATATAAATTTGATACTATATAAACCATCAAATTCATATACTTAAAATCTCCCAGTTTCTTCTCAAATTAAGCATGCTTTGAGAATTTATTCTTAAGGTAAATTATAAAATCTATATATTTATGTACAATAATACTTTTAGTTTAATCAGTCTGACTTCCTTCAGTTATGCCTTATAATGTCTCTGTGTAACCAATCAATTTTTTCTCCTTAGCCCAAGCATAGATTGCATCTGCTAATTCGAAAGGACTAACCAAATTCGCAGAGAAAATTTAATCATTTTTCCATTCTATGGATCCTAATTGTGACATTTAATTAAGTATTTCTTTGATTTCTGAAGAATCTAATCTCTTAATAATCCCAGAAGATGAATCTTAAAAAATGGGAAAATTAAGGATTTCACTAATTGAAGATTCCAAAACTTTATGTGATTGAAAGTAGAGATGCACAATCTCACCCCATTAAATTATTTGTTTCTTTCTTGTTTCTTTATGATCTTATAAGCCATATACTTGAGTTAATAAATGTACTTGTAAAATGGAGGATATTTCAAGAGTTTTGAATGTAATTCTAACTTGTCTTAAGCATCCTACATTTTAATATAGATTATTAATAAGTAAGTATATTCAAATGAATTCAAGTAATGCCACATCTTTAGGTTACTACCCGACACAATGGAAAATTTGGATCTCTCTCAAGCCATTATCTACAACATTCAGCATGAAAGTAGTGTTCTTGATGGCAAGGCATTTGAATAACACTGTGAGATTCATTTATTTGTTAATAACAAATGGGACTAAAGTAATTTAAATAAAATACCAATCATTTTATTAAAATGAAGTATGTTTTTCTTTAAGAATTCTAAATTTAATGATTTGTAATTGATCATAGAAACTGATAATCATGTTCCTATTTTATTAATAATTTAATTCTTTACCTTAATAATATGGTAAAAAATCTTGGTGTTATTTATTAACGATTCTAAGGTTAGATGGATCTATAATCTATTGAAAGCATCAGTTTATATTATTTTTAGAATTAGTAATGGTTATCGATAAAGAATTAAAGAATTATGCTGATAATTAATTGGAAAATAATGTATTTTCTAAAAATGAAACTTAGATTCACACTAAATAAGTGATTCAAGAAGTAATTTCTCTTATGAGAATGTTTTAATAACAATTCCTTCTTGAATCCTATCTGAAAGTATTCCCAGTTGTTATATTTGATTAAACTAAAGAAATATTAAATATTTCATCTAAAACATTAAAATTATTAGGTCAAAATGATATATTTTAAGCTGAAAAACAATTAAGAAAATTGGAAATCATAGAGGTCTTTAATAGAAAGGAATAAGTATCAACTAAAGATTTGACTGTTAAATTGACTAGATAAGCTAAATTTTGATCTACTTGTGGAGTAAATGAAAAAGGATATTTATTACATTCTTTAATTAATGGTCCAGCCTTACAACAATTGAGATAATAGTAATAAGTTGATTAGCCAAGATTATAAACTTAGGGATAGTTATAATAGCTCTTAAATGAACTAGTAAAAGGGGATCAAGAATACTTAAAAGGTTTATTAATGTTAAAATTGAGTAAGGAAAAGAATACTATTTTTCATATCATTTGATTCGTAATAATAAGATTTATCTATTTTTGGATGATGTTTCTGAAATAGTAAAATTATAAATGAAAACAAAGATCAATGATGGTTAAAGATATTAATATCTTATTATCTGAGATTCGTTAAATTTCAACAATTAAAAGCTGTCTTATCTTAACAAAAATAAAAAATATTGAAATAAAATCTTGTTATTTAGAATACAATTAATTGAGAATAAATTATGATAATATTAATTTCGATCAAATGGTAATCAATTTGTAAGAATATTATAATTAATGAATTCCAACAATAAAATATTAATTTAGAAATCTAGTAAAATTGAACACTAATTTCCTTACAGATGAAGAACGTCTTCGATAGATTATTATTAATGGAAAATAGTATAGAAATGAACATAAGGATGAATAAAGAACTAAACTTTCTGGTCTCTTTATAGCTAATTATTTGACTAAAATATTTGGAGTTTCATTTTTTAATAAAAGGATTAATTGACATATAGCAAATAAAGGATTGAGAATTATCACGACCTAAGAATATAATATGGCACCAAAATTTCATTTACTGTCAGAAATATGATTTATGATCAGAATAATGTGTAATTTCTTCTTGATGAGAATTTAGATGAAGATGATTAAAATCAAGATGAAATTATTGAGAGATACATAGTTGAAGATTAACCTCAATATTTATATAGATTTTAAAAGTATTAATATTATATATATTTAGACCTATTAAATATACTGTAATGAAAAATGAAGAGAAAAAAGTAGTTTAAGTATTAGAAGACAGAATAATTAAAATACCTCAATTAAATGGTATGATGAAACTATAGGAATCAGGAAGATTGAAATCTCTAACTATTCAAATGGAATAAATATAATTCCCATAAGAAAAATGTATTTGTGAAAATACATTAATAATAAATAGTGATTATTAATTTCAATCCATTTTGAGAGATTTTAATTTCGAAATTGTTAATGAAATTGAAGCTTTGAGAATAATTAAAATAAAATTAAAAGAGAATCCATGTATATAAGTATGGCATTCAATAAATTTACATAAATAGTTCAAATCCAAAAGTCAATTATGATGAGTAATATTATTATTTACTTTTATTTTAGTTTGATAAAGAAGTTGCTTCTATTGAATAAATAATTAAATATCGGAGTCCTTTCATATCATCCTTGGGGAGAAATACAACCAAACATAATAAATTATTAAATGCCAACTAAATTAGATATTATTTATACTTTCACCAATTATTGATATTAATCCTAAAATCACATCCTCTTTAAAAAAACCTTCATGAAAATTAAAATGATGCAAAATTGTATAAAATAGTTTTGATATCCCATATTCCATAGTTTTTTCGATATTTATTTTATTTTAGAAACTCCATACAATAATCGTTATAATTATAATGAGAATAATATATTCAATATAATTGTCTTATCCAATTTTATGCTTAATAAATATCCTTTTGCTGATATAGAATGTGAAAAATTGATTAATTCAAATATTAAATGTATCAAAACTGATGAAAGTTTGTTTCAAAGACATTAATTATTTATATCATTATTTGTATAATAGAAGTAGAGGCCGACTATTTATTTTATTAATTCTCAAAGATTGGACATTAAAAGCCTGTAAATACAATTTAATATTCAATGTCTTCATGAGCAATAGTGAGTAGTTTATTATTTTAAGTAAGTTTTAACCATATTCTATTAGATATTAAATAATAATGATCTAATTTATATTGTTATAAATCTATAACTTTATTAAGTAGATTTTCACATAATCTCAATATCTATCCTAGTGTTATTAACACTTCCTTTTTCCTTATTAGAATAAGTATAGAATTACAATCCAAAGCATTAAATCTCTTAAGCGAATGCAATTCTTCAAATTTATTGTTTATTTAATCCATCTTTTATTCGGTATATATTCAATTCTGCCTATTTAATTTAATGAAAGTTCCTTATTAAGTTATTATTTATTTTTCATATTGAAAATATTCAATAATATCATAATCTATACCTTTCATATAAATTTTTAATAATAATATTAAATTAATCACTTATTTATATGTTTATATAATTAGTTAATAACAAATTATTACCGCTTAAGTTATATATATGAATATTTACTTTATTAAGATAGTTTTTAAGAATAAAATGAGAGAGTAATTTAATCAAATTTTTGATAGTCATTTTAACTAAGCTAAATTATTTAATTGATTTAATATTTAAAGAGAATATAAATATTAGAATATGTAATAAATCAATCAATTTTTATGAGTTTATTTTAATACTTTATTAAAATTGATTGCCAATATTTTTAAAACTTTTTTAGTAAAAAATAAACCAAATTGCATATTTAATGATAATGTTTGAGTAATATTCATTGATGTAATAAATCAAAAGAAAGTAATCCATTATTAGATATTTGATGTATATTTATCTGATTTCAATTATTTCTTTTAATCATTATGGTTATAAAGCAATGATAATGAATATTAGATGGGTAAAATGATGGCTACAACATCAATCAATTTTTTTCAGTAATAAAGGAGAATAATATTTACAGGAGGAGTATTTAATATGGTGATTTTAAATATATATTCATTAATTATATATATATAATATTGTATTGATTAAATAAAATAACAACATAAATGAATTTTATATAAATTTTATGATATATTTATTAATGATTTGATTGATTAAAAAGATTTATGAGGTTCCTCTCTTGGATTCCAGATTTTAATTAAATTAAATTCTCATAAATAATTATTTAAAGTAGAGGATGAATAGCTAGATTTTGATTATTGAATCAGCATTATTATTTCTGTTTGTGATTGCTTTGTTTATTTTTAAAGAGTGGGAATGTAATCAAAAGATTAATTAAGTTACTATTTTCTATATTAAACATAAGTATATTTTTATTGGAAATAAAGCGTATAAGTGAATCAAATTGTAATTATACACTATTGAAAATTAGATGTTTTAATAGCTATTTCAGGTTTTATTATGATATTATTATCTTATAAGGAGTTGAAGAAGGAGAAGAATGAAATACCTTAGATATAGATTAGAAATACCTAGTTATCAGAGAGAAATAATAAAGTGGATTAAGAAATAGAATTACCTTAGCAACTGCCAGTGATTCCTTCAATACATGAGAGTAATTCTAGTATACAGGATGATAACAATAAAATTTAAAGTAATTTTTAAGGGGAAAGCTGAATAATAAAATATAAGATAGGATTATGGAATGAATTATTTGGGTGATAATAAAAGGCCTTCATTTTAATTGAAAAATAATGTTCCTGGAGTTTTTATAACACGTTAATAAAATGTTGCTTAAATGTAACGTAAGAAATTTAGATATATATCTATAGCTAATTTGAATGTAATAAAATTTTAAGATGAATTTGGTGAAATCAAATTTGGAATACTTAAAACACTTAAGTCAGTTGCATAAGATTAATTAGGAAGGAAAGTGGAATGTATATTTAAAAGTGATAGGCCGCTTACAAAATTACTGTCTACAGTTGAATAAACTAATTAGCCTAGAATGTAAATCTTATATGAAAGTAAAGTATAGCAGAATTAATATGTGGATGATACATTAAGAGAAGCAATTCAATTAGATGATTTAGAATATGATGAGAAGAAAAAAGAGAAGAAAATTCCATGGTAAAAAATAATAAAAGCATTAATTTTAATAATTATTTTAAATCTAAATTTTATAATATTTGATAATTGGAAGTTGCTTTAATTAATCTTAATTTATTTTATTATGTAGAGACAAATATTGCAATATAAAAAATTGATAGCAAATTAATTAAAATTTAAATGTGAGACAAGAGATTTACTCATATGATTGGCATTAATAGGTCTTCCAATGATGATTGTTTTAGTTATAAATCTTATAGATAAGACAATAATGAGGTAGATTTTATAAATAGCTAGTTGGGTTAGTTTAGTTATAACTTCAAAGTACAATAAACATTGTTAAGAGTATTTAATTTCTTTACAATTAGTTATTTCTATGGTTGTTTATGTTACATTATTTTATTGACCTTAGTACGATATTTCATTTGATATATATATATATACATTACTCAAATTGAAAATACATATAAAGGATTTTAAGATATTTCTTAAATCTATAATGAATTAATAGTATTTAAGGAAGAAATTAAAGATTAAAACAACTACTGATAGAGGTAACAAGTATTTTTTATAATTTAATTATACTCCTCTTACCCAAAAAATAATGTTTACAAAAAAATGAGTAATCGTAATTCATTGAAACTAATCGAAACATTATATAAAGAATTTAGTCCATAGCATTTTTAATTGCCGCAAATAGTTTAACCTTAATTTAGTTAGATTACATCATTACGACAAAAAGGGAAATCTGAAAGTGTTAGAGAATATTCAATAGGTTTTTGGGACCTAATGATTTTGTTCGTTTTTTTATGGGCGGATTAAAATTTGGGATAGGAATTTTGTTATTTGAACAATTATGGTTATCCTTATGAATGGAAGGTTGTAAATGAAGATAATAGAAATTTGGATTATTATATGACTATAAGTGGAAGGGGAATTATAATACATCATAGTATTATATCAAATCTTCGATGATGTAGATTAAGTGGAATTGTTTAATTTTAATATTTCGATAAATTTGTAATTTGACTATTCATCAACAATACATTTATAAACTAAATGGCTAAGGTAAGGTAAAAGCACAAGTTTTTGGTTCTGAATCTTTATATAACTCAATAAATGACATTACTCAATTCATTGATCATGAGGTTTTTATTGTCAACAAAAATTGATAACAAAGATCATGATTTTAATTAATTAATTGATTAAATCAAAGTAATTTGAATTTGGCTATATAAACAGCTTACATTAAAACTCCAAATAGTGATCTAATAAAACTACCCTAAAAGATTATAACAACACTTAACTCCTAGCCTACTCATCAATTTTTTGTAATTACTCCCATCATTTATCAATTCAAATTGATTAATTTTTGGTACTCCCATCGACTTCATTAAAGGTAAGAATCTTTTTAATGGAATTTTTGCTCCTTTTTGGATGAGGCAGTAGATCATTCATCAATAGAGTTTGAGAAAAGGATAGAGAGCCAAAGATTTTGGGTTCTTTTAATGCATTTATTTAAGCCTAGCTTATCTTAAAACAAGTTGCTCTCTCTAATCAAATAAAAAGCAAATGATTTTTCTGAAGTAAGAAAGCTTAACTTTCAAATTGACAAGAGTATGATGAACAAATGAAGAAATAATTTTTAATTTGAAAGTATTATTTATTCTTACTATTGATTATTAATATCTAGCATAACAATCAAAATCTATTGTAGAGATTAAAATTATAAAGACGCCATCCTCTTTATGAAGCAAGATATAGCTATATTATTTAGAAGGTTAAACATGATCTTATGCTAATTGTTTAAATTAAAGGAGGATACTCAAAGATATTTTTCCTATAGGTTATTACACTAATCAATCATTAGTGTCTTAATTAACAAAAACCCTTCAAAAAACATTTTGCATAAACAGGTGTAAAATTACCTGTTTCCTAAATTATAAGTTAAATTCATTTAAAAATGAAAGAAATTTTCTTAATTATCATATCATATTCTACAATTAGTTGAATCGTGAAAATTGTTAAATATTGCAGCACAACTATTTTTTATGAATTTATAAATTAACTTTATTTTTGTAATATTAAGTCTAAGTTGCCTTAGTATTTAAACTATATTTTTCTCCATTAAATTTTAGAAAAATAGATCTTTTAATAAATTGATGATTATTCTCCTAAAGGATCTAATTGAAAAGAGGATGATTAATACAGGAACCTTTTATTCTCTCATTTGATTTGAATAAAATTTTAATTAGCTTTAAAAATAATTTTACCATCTAAAACCAAATCCCTTTTAAAATATGAAGATATATATTATTCATATAAGACTTATTAATCTATATAGAAGAACTTATTGGGTTGAACGAATTAAATTTTCTTGAGTCCAAAGACCTCTATGATATTTTAGATTTAGCACTTTTTTTTTTTGATGAATGAAATATAATAGAGAGAAAATTATTCATTTATAAAAACACTTGCATTTACAGAGGATATATTGCTTTTTAAGAACTTATTGTTAACATTCCTTGATTTAAGCAGTTTCTCATCATATGATTAAAAATATTGAATCATAATACTTGCAACAAAATATCTTAATTTAAAAATTATACTTACTTTTTTCGATCATTTATACTAGCCTCCTTTGATTTGGTTTACATTTAATTGCACAAAAAAAATTTATTCAAAATTTAGATAAATTTGTAATATTCATATTTAAATAGTTTACATAATTCTTAATAGTAAATGATAAATTTAATAATTTAACTAATTACAGTTTATAATTATTTGGTTAAAACTAGGCAGAATTGATAAAGAAATTATGATTAATAGTTTGTGATTTGTTGTTTCAAAAGGAACTCAGTTAATAATTCTTATAACTTCAAAATTTTTTTAATTTAATTTTTTAACTCTCTTCAAATAGAGAATAAACTTAAATCAATTCACTAATTCAAGTAGTTTTCTGTTCATCATTCTGACTAAAATTATTTATACTCGTAGTCTTAATATTTATATTAATTATGATATAATTTTCTGCATTTTCATGATTAATGATAAAGACTCATTAAGTAATAATTTTTTTTTATATATTTAAGTATTTGAAGGAAGGAGGGAGTTATTAAAAGTGAAAATCCAAATGTTAGTGAGAACTGTATTTATGTATGTTTTTGATTTAACATCTTGTAAAAATATGTCTTTTAAAAATTCATCTTTTATAATTTTATCAATTTTTTTCTCCAAATTATATGAATAAAATATTGTTATATTTCCAAAAAATGAAGTTCTTCAGATATTCAGCTCTTAAATAAAAGTTATCAAGAGATTAATAAAAATTATTAGCATATTGTTAATGTGTTGATAATTGTGCTATTAAATAAATAATTATTTTTTCTTTTTTAATAATTTAAAGGCTAAAAGTAACAGAGTATCAACTAAATGAAATTTAAGGAATTATTATTGTTCAATTTGAATAATATAATTAATTTATTAAATATATTCAATTCCTTTTTGTTAACTAATTTTATATGAATTATTTTAACAATTAATCTTCATTGATTCTTATTAAGCATTCACCTTCAAATATATAAACAAAACTTACGTGCTTATTCAAAGGATTCTATATATTTTGGATTTATGAGCAATACTTTGTTAAAATATTCAAGAGCCTATTTATATTTTTTCATTTTGTATAAACACATACCTTATAAATAATTTAGATTAAAATTACCTATGTAATGCAAGGATTCTTCATATTCTGGGTCTATGTCCAATGCTTTATCAAAATATTCAATAGCATATTCATGTTTATTCAATTTGTATAAACACATACCTTTTTATTTACATTAAATTTACCTATTTTATACTATATATATGGTTATAGAAACTTTGGATTTATGGCTAATACTTTTTAAAAATATTCAATTGCCTCTTATTCTTCTTCCATTTGACATAAACATTAACCTTTAAATATTTAAAATTTAATTTACCAATGGAATACAAGCTATATGCAAGTTTTGGTTCTAGGGCCAATGCTCTTTATTGATATATAATTGCCTCATTTACTACTCCAATATTCTGTAAGCAAAAACCTATAAATATTTAAATAAAATTTACCGATGAAACGCAAGGAGTCTACATATTGTGGATTTATGGCCAATACTTTGTTAAAATATTCAATAGCCTATTCATATTGTTTCATTTCGTATAAACACATACCTTTTTATTTAAATTAAATTTACCCATCTAATGCAAGGATGCTATATATTTTGGATTTATGACCAATGTTTTGTTAAAATATTCAATAGCCTATCCAAATTGTTTCATTTCGTATAAACACAAACCTTTTTATTTAAATTAAATTTACCCATGAAGCGCAAGGATTGTACATATTTTGGATTTATGACCAATGCTTTGTTAAAATATTCAATAGCCTATTCAAATTGTTTCATTCTGAATAAACACATACCTTTTTATTTAAATTAAATTTACCCATCTAATGCAAGGGTGCTACATATTTTGGATTTATGACCAATGCTTTGTTAAAATATTCAATAGCCTATTCAAATTGTTTCATTTNATTAATTTATTAAATATATTCAATTCCTTTTTGTTAACTAATTTTATATGAATTATTTTAACAATTAATCTTCATTGATTCTTATTAAGCATTCACCTTCAAATATATAAACAAAACTTACGTGCTTATTCAAAGGATTCTATATATTTTGGATTTATGAGCAATACTTTGTTAAAATATTCAAGAGCCTATTTATATTTTTTCATTTTGTATAAACACATACCTTATAAATAATTTAGATTAAAATTACCTATGTAATGCAAGGATTCTTCATATTCTGGGTCTATGTCCAATGCTTTATCAAAATATTCAATAGCATATTCATGTTTATTCAATTTGTATAAACACATACCTTTTTATTTACATTAAATTTACCTATTTTATACTATATATATGGTTATAGAAACTTTGGATTTATGGCTAATACTTTTTAAAAATATTCAATTGCCTCTTATTCTTCTTCCATTTGACATAAACATTAACCTTTAAATATTTAAAATTTAATTTACCAATGGAATACAAGCTATATGCAAGTTTTGGTTCTAGGGCCAATGCTCTTTATTGATATATAATTGCCTCATTTACTACTCCAATATTCTGTAAGCAAAAACCTATAAATATTTAAATAAAATTTACCGATGAAACGCAAGGAGTCTACATATTGTGGATTTATGGCCAATACTTTGTTAAAATATTCAATAGCCTATTCATATTGTTTCATTTCGTATAAACACATACCTTTTTATTTAAATTAAATTTACCCATCTAATGCAAGGATGCTATATATTTTGGATTTATGACCAATGTTTTGTTAAAATATTCAATAGCCTATCCAAATTGTTTCATTTCGTATAAACACAAACCTTTTTATTTAAATTAAATTTACCCATGAAGCGCAAGGATTGTACATATTTTGGATTTATGACCAATGCTTTGTTAAAATATTCAATAGCCTATTCAAATTGTTTCATTCTGAATAAACACATACCTTTTTATTTAAATTAAATTTACCCATCTAATGCAAGGGTGCTACATATTTTGGATTTATGACCAATGCTTTGTTAAAATATTCAATAGCCTATTCAAATTGTTTCATTTTGTATACGGAAAAACCTATAAATATTTAAATAAAATTTACCGATGAAACGCAAGGAGTCTACATATTGTGGATTTATGGCCAATACTTTGTTAAAATATTCAATAGCCTATTCATATTGTTTCATTTCGTATAAACACATACCTTTTTATTTAAATTAAATTTACCCATCTAATGCAAGGATGCTATATATTTTGGATTTATGACCAATGCTTTGTTAAAATATTCAATAGCCTATTCAAATTGTTTCATTTCGTATAAACACAAACCTTTTTATTTAAATTAAATTTACCCATGAAGCGCAAGGATTGTACATATTTTGGATTTATGACCAATGCTTTATTAAAATGTTCAATAGCCTATTCATATTGTTTCATTACTTATAAGCAAAGACTTATAAATATTTAAATTAAATTTACCAATCTAATGCAAGGATTCTACATATTGTGGATTTATGACCAATGCTTTATTAAAATATTCAATAGCCAATTCATGTTTATTCAATTCGTATAAGTATTTACCTTAAAATATTTGAAATTATTTTACCAATTTGATGAAGAGTAACTTCTTTTGGTTATAAATTTTCATACAATTTAATTGCTTATTCAAATTGTCCCAAATATAGTAAGCATTCAGCTTAAAATTTAAATATTAAATTACCGTATTCTTCTTATTAATCCACAAAAAAATTTTTGTTAATGGAGTATGCTTTGTCAAACAATTTAATTGCCTATTCATATTGGCCCATTTAATATAAACACTTAGCTTTAATTATTTACATTAAGTCTACCTTTGCCATTTAAGGAATCTAAAAATCTATTATTTATGGCTAAAGCCTTATCAAAGTATTGGATTGCTTATTGATATTAACCCATTGATAATAAGTAATAACCTATTTCTGAGTATACCTATTTAGCTCTTTCAAATTCTTTTGATTTAACTAAAGTTTAAACTTAAAATAGTATTAAAAATAAACCTTATTTCTACATTATTTATAAATTATCACGATTATCTTTCTAATAATCATCAACTCGACTATTAGTATATAGTGATTAATTTGATGTTGATTTAACTACTGAAACTTAGGTTTTTAATTTCTAGCTTTTTAACTAATCTTATCTCTTCTATGGATCTTATTACTAGCTTAAATTTTTGAGTATATCTCCTTTTTAGTTAACTTTTTTTTAGCTAATCTTAAATTGATTTTGCTTAGGCTTCATTTTTATTTATTTAATAAAACATACGATTGATAGAAAATGTATTAAATGAGCAAAAACCGAATTAATCAGAAAAAAATAAAATTTATTTATTAATTAAAAACAATAATATAAATTACAAATTGTAGATTTTATGATAGAAAAATTGCTTTCCTTTATTTATTTAAAAAGTATATTTGAAGAGATGTTTTTTAAACTAATCATACTAGTTTTCAATATTGATGAAAATTTTCTAAACGAATCTAATAATTCCCAAAAGCTACAAATATTATAGGTTTTTTATTTGAAATCTAAATTCTTTTTTTAATTTATAAAAATTTTATAAGTAATAATGTGTTAGTATTTAAGATTCAAAAGAGAAAATAGTTCAAGAAAAGCTAAAATGATCACTAATATATTTGATAAAGCTTTCAAAAAAAACCAAATTATAAGAAGTTTAATTAATAACCTTAATTATAAAGCTACGATGATCTACTTTATTGTGTATTTATAGTGCTCTTCATATTTTGATTAATCATATTAATTATTGACTTAAACTGGTGTCCTTCTAATTAAAATTATATGTTAGCTTTTTGATTATAAACTATAGTAAGTTAATCCATATATTATTTATTTTACAATCTATTAAAATAATTACTTTTAAGTCTTTATTACATATTTTAAGGTTGGTTTTCTTTTAATGTTAGGATTAAATATGATGGTCAATTTTCCAAATATATAAATTTTCTGAATTTTTTAAAAGCATTTATATAATTGAAGTCTATAAGGTAACTAATTTAAAATTAATTTAATCTTATAATTTTAAGAGTTTTAAAAGTTTTTTAAAAAGGATTCTTAACAAAACAAAATATAGTCCTCATCTTTTATATAATAATTGCAATTTTTCTTGATATTAATGTATAGATTATCCATAAGAATGTACAGTTACAATCAATCTGTTATAAATTGCTATATATTATTTAACAAATAAAGCAAGAATATAATTTAATAAATTATAATCTCAGCTCTAAGTTCTTAATAATATGTAAACACTCTTTATTGAATAACATTTGCAAGATTTTTCTCTAAAAAAAAAGGATGAGATAATTAATTGTTGTATAAATTAATTAAATTATGAAAATAGCTGAGTGGAACATATACTATACTTGAACATAATTGCTCTAATAAAATATTTGTATTTTATTTAAGTAGTGCGCATTAGTAAAAATTTATTGATAATTATAAAAAATCAGAAACATAAGCGAAAATTTGATACTATAATAAATATTGTATTTAAATTTATCAAGCTCTTACCTCATTGTGATAACTTTTCAAGGTTGATAAAAATAAATCTTATAAAATAATTGAAAAAATTTAGTGGCAATAATGATTGAATAATAAAGTCAAGTTATTACAATCAATAAGTCATTAATTTGTCATTTATATAATAAAAATTCATCAATAATATTAGGAATCTATGTAGATTAAAATAATTTTTCGTATTAATCTTATACAAATTAATCAACTCTATATATTAAATATAATATTTCTAATATTGTATATAATTCTAATAAATCTCTAATATATATCTAAAATTGAATCGCTCTTGTGATTTTCATTATTCAAACTCATAAATCTTTTTTTTATTTTATTTTATTATCCTAATAGGTACTCTTAAATACTCATATGCAGCTTCTTTTGCATTTTCAATTTACCTAATCACATATATGTCTTAATCTAGAGATTCTATCCATCATTAAATACTTTCCAATTATATATCAATTCTTTAAAAGATCTAAATTTTGTTCTAAAAACTAAATAAATTCTGCTGTTATAAAATATTATAATTTATACTAATTTGTATTCATTCTTTATAAAAAAATTATATCCACTTTAAAAATGAACGATCTAATTCATTCTAAATTAATTACTGATATTTTTAATATGACAATTAAAAAAAACAATATTCGTATTATAATTTTAATCATTCACTGTGCAAATAAAAGATTTATTATAATTATCTGAGATTATCAATTATAAATTTATTTATCAATGAATCCAACTATTCAAAATGGAGGTTTAATTCATTTGGTAGAAGGGAAAATGTATCAAAGACTTCAACTATTATCTTGTTAGGGTACTCAATCAACTAATTATATTGGAATTTAATTGGGGAATCCAAATGAATAATTAATAATAAAATACTAACATTCAATATAGAATGATGAATTAGAAGTGCTTCAATAAATTAAAAAATAATAAAATTAAACACAACCTAGATGAACATATAATTAAAATACTTGGAATACAGGTTTAGGCAGAATCAATAGTATTAGTTGTTATGGAAAAAGGTAAAGGTAATATTTTAGAGTTAATCAATTCTAATTAATCTCTTAGTTTAGTTTAGAAAATAAAGTTATTTGAATAAGTAAAATATATCATAATTTAAAGATGGTAGAAGGAGTAATAGAATTACATAATTTAGGCTATCTTCATAGAGATCTGAAACCAGAAAATTTTGTCTATTTTGAAAATGAAAATAAAGATTATAAAGTCAAATTAATAGATTTTGGATTAGCAATAAATGAATTCACAACTAATAGTAAATGGCTGGGGACTTTAAATTACATGGCACCTGAATTAATGCTAACAGGGGAGACATATGATAAGACTACTGATATTTGGAGTCTTGGAATCATACTATATGAACTACTTGTATAAAAAAAATTTTTATAATGTTTTTAATTTATTTATATTTAGCTAAATCAGATAAAGAATTCAAATAATAAATGCTTAATTTATCTTAGGAGTGGATAGATAATAAAATAAACAAAGTTGATGATTTAGAATAACCAGAGAAGAAGTTAATCAACTTAATGTTATAAAAAGATAGTAAAAAGAGAATTAATTTGGAAATTTTATTATAAATAATAAAGGAGTATTTTCATACAATTAAGTAATTAGAAGAATAAAACTTATTAGAATTACAAGAAATAAGATAATCGTCAATTAATAAACTGGAATTCTTTAAAAGTACAATATATATATATAGATTTAAAATCTAAATTAAAAGTTAGAAATAGTTAATAATATAAATACAGAATATTAAGAAAAGTAATAATTGTCATCTGATATTAAAGATGAATTGATAAAATGTGAAGAAAAAATCATGAAAATTGAAGAAAGATTATAATATAAACAAAATTCGTAGACAAAAGAGATGCTTAAAAGACATTATAGTGAGATAATTCAAGAAAGTGAATAATAAATATAAGCTAATAATCTCATTATGGAAAAAATTTTAAAATAAATAATTTTACTAGAATTGTCAATAGAAGAGTAGGAATTGAAAAAGAAATAAGAAGAGGAATTAAAAAAAGAATAAGAATAATATCAATTTTTACTTTTAATTGTTAGATAATTGTTTAGTTCATAAATTACATAGATTAATAAAATTTCATAAGAAATTTGCTTTTATCAAAGAATTTAATTATAAATTTTTGGAGAAGAGTAGATTTTATATTTGATAAAGTAGCACAAAAAAATAACATAAGATATCCAAGAGTTAGAATAATAGGACAAGATAATTTTGTAATTAGATTCGTTATAACAAAAAATGAATATTTATTCATAATTTAATAACACACTAGAAGGAATTTAATAAGCTTAAAATAGTCTCAAAATTTCAATTGAAGAAGCCAATAAATCTATTGAAAAAACTGATAGATAATATTTGAATTATCACCATAAATAAATAAATGAATTAAATGATTAATTAAAAGATTTATTCGAAACATTTTAATATCAACTTCAGCATTAAAAATATACGGATAAAATAAATGAAATAATTTCTGATATAGCACAGGTTTGTAGTATGTTAAAAATTCTTGAATAATTAATATCTTCAAGAACGTTGGAAGCATATTAAGAATACAAAACAAAATATATTTAGATTTAATAATTTTTAAGTGATAAATAACAATAACATAAATAATTGCATCAATAAATTTATAATGATTAATGTTTTGAATANATTTTTATAATGTTTTTAATTTATTTATATTTAGCTATATTACATCAAAAATTAAAATAGAATTAGCTAAATTAGGCTATAAATCAGATAAAGAATTCAAATAATAAATGCTTAATTTATCTTAGGAGTGGATAGATAATAAAATAAACAAAGTTGATGATTTAGAATAACCAGAGAAGAAGTTAATCAACTTAATGTTATAAAAAGATAGTAAAAAGAGAATTAATTTGGAAATTTTATTATAAATAATAAAGGAGTATTTTCATACAATTAAGTAATTAGAAGAATAAAACTTATTAGAATTACAAGAAATAAGATAATCGTCAATTAATAAACTGGAATTCTTTAAAAGTACAATATATATATATAGATTTAAAATCTAAATTAAAAGTTAGAAATAGTTAATAATATAAATACAGAATATTAAGAAAAGTAATAATTGTCATCTGATATTAAAGATGAATTGATAAAATGTGAAGAAAAAATCATGAAAATTGAAGAAAGATTATAATATAAACAAAATTCGTAGACAAAAGAGATGCTTAAAAGACATTATAGTGAGATAATTCAAGAAAGTGAATAATAAATATAAGCTAATAATCTCATTATGGAAAAAATTTTAAAATAAATAATTTTACTAGAATTGTCAATAGAAGAGTAGGAATTGAAAAAGAAATAAGAAGAGGAATTAAAAAAAGAATAAGAATAATATCAATTTTTACTTTTAATTGTTAGATAATTGTTTAGTTCATAAATTACATAGATTAATAAAATTTCATAAGAAATTTGCTTTTATCAAAGAATTTAATTATAAATTTTTGGAGAAGAGTAGATTTTATATTTGATAAAGTAGCACAAAAAAATAACATAAGATATCCAAGAGTTAGAATAATAGGACAAGATAATTTTGTAATTAGATTCGTTATAACAAAAAATGAATATTTATTCATAATTTAATAACACACTAGAAGGAATTTAATAAGCTTAAAATAGTCTCAAAATTTCAATTGAAGAAGCCAATAAATCTATTGAAAAAACTGATAGATAATATTTGAATTATCACCATAAATAAATAAATGAATTAAATGATTAATTAAAAGATTTATTCGAAACATTTTAATATCAACTTCAGCATTAAAAATATACGGATAAAATAAATGAAATAATTTCTGATATAGCACAGGTTTGTAGTATGTTAAAAATTCTTGAATAATTAATATCTTCAAGAACGTTGGAAGCATATTAAGAATACAAAACAAAATATATTTAGATTTAATAATTTTTAAGTGATAAATAACAATAACATAAATAATTGCATCAATAAATTTATAATGATTAATGTTTTGAATAAATAAATGGAGTAAGAATAAATAAATTATAAAAAACAAAAGAACAATTAGAATAATTTAAATATAAAATGAATCAATTAAAAAATTAGATAAAAAATTTGATCAATAATCAATATTGCAATAATGAATAAACAAGCTTTTTAATTAATAATGAATTAATAAAGTTTGATAAAAAGATAGATGAGTTGGAAAAGTAATTTGATAATTTCAATAAATTTAATACATAAAATTATAATTCTTGTGAAATTATTAGTAATTAAATAGATTTATTGGAAGAGTTTTAGAGAAAATTAAATGAAGAAAACAAAAATTAAATAGAATAAGTAGATTAATTTAAGTTGATTATTGAAAATAAAGCAGCTGAACACAAAAGTAAATAAGAAAAGAAAATTCTAAATTTAAAGAATCAATTATAGATTAAATATAGAATATTCTAAAATGTTCTATTTTAAATTAATCAATTTGAAAATTTAGAATATTAGGAAAACATGAGGGCAAAGTATAGAGAACTTGAGAAATAATTGGAATAAGAAATAGAGATCTTGAAAGAATATTTAAGGGTTTAGTATGTAAATTAGAAGTTATTTGAAGAAAAATTAAAAGATATTAAATAAAAAGGAGGATAATATCAATAATAATTTGAACATTTGCTCAAGAGATTACAATAAATTAATCTATAAAAAGGTAAAAGGCTAGAGAATATAATAGATAGAGTTTCTAAGATGAATAATGAATTACTTTTTAATTAGCTGAGTAAAAATGTAATTAAGAATTATGAATATTTAAAACTGCGAGAAGAATAATTATCAATAATATTCTATTCAATAGACTAAAATATATCTAATAAATAATTAAACCCTGAATAATTAAAAGAATTAAAAAAAAGAATTCTTCAGTTATGTAATGAATTAGATGAATTATCGATATAATTTCCTTAGAATGATGAAATATAAAAGTTCAAAGAAGCTAATCAATAAAATTTGAAATCATATAAAATATTGCATGCTTTATTAAATTATATAAAATAGTATCACCTAACAAGATATTATGAACGAATTAAAGAAGAGGCAAATAAACTAAAAAATATTTAATAGAATAACAATTTAAATTATTACTAAAAGCTAGACTAATTTAAATTAAACGAAAATTAGGAAGAAAACACAAAAAAGGAGAAAGAATCTTAAGATATATTACAAAAATATAACACTATTTTATGTAATAGTTACAATCAGATGACTATAGAAGCAATGGAAATAGATAAAAATAAATGGAAAAACAGATTGATATTATAGAAAATTAAATAAAATAAAAATGCTTAGTAAAATTAAGAGCTAATTATAAAGATTAATCAGATATAAAAGAGATTATTAATAATAGATAATATTATAAAATAACTGAATTCTCATAAATGCTTATCATGAGTATCTTAAAAAAAGAAAATAATTAAATCAATCAATACTGATAGAAATGTTAATGGTTTAACATTCTAATAAATATCATTTAATATAAGTAGAATTATATAATTATAATTTATTCAGTTTTTTTAAATATTTTAGATATTTATTTGTTCTATAAAATCAATTAATATTATTTTTAATTTTGGATAGTTTGAATAACATGTTGAATAAATATATTAAATTTTAATCTAAAAGGAGTTTAATATTTATTACATTTGTTCATCTATTCTTATATAATATTTTTATTTTATCATAGTTTGTTAAATAACATAAAAATTTATAAAATTATCTTATCCTCTAATTTACAAAATACTTATTTTATGATTTTGCTGTAGCATTTGAAATATATTCTGTTGTAAATCCTATTTAAGTCTAGAGTTCATTTATATTGAAGTGAAATCTATGCTTAAATTAAAGTTAATTTATTTTCATTTATTGAAATAATATTTTTTTTCTTAAACTTAATAAGTCTTAAATCTTATTAATGAAACCATCTTCAATAGTATTAGGAAATAAATAAATATATAAATATCTGTTTGACTTCTCTATATAATTAGTTTCAATTCAAGGATCAATTTTACTAAAAAGGTTCATAAATCGATTTATATTCGCCCTCTCATGTCTGTTATCATTTTTTCAATCTCCATCATATTCACTTACATTACCCATTGATTTTTTACATGATTTTTGTTCAACCTATAAGATTTTGCAATTCTAATAATTGATACCCTTTTAAAATTAGGGTAGATAAATATTTTTATAGTATGTCAAATGAATGGGATTTTAAGAAATTGTTTTTCAAAATCAATATTACTTTTTATACTGAAAAAAATTAATATTTCATACGCTTAATCTTCTACTTAAATTCAAGGGTTTTTCAAACAAAAAAAATAAACATTTTTTCATTTGATAATAGCATACTATAATCTATTAATCTTATTGTTAACAATAAAACTGAGGAATTTTGGCTTCCTTGCTAGTTTATATATAGAGAAAATTGCGAAAGATTAACTGATTGTAAATTAATTACTATTTCTATTTTATTTAATTAAAAAGTTCAATAGTATTTTCATATATTGATAGCATTAATCAAGAACTTAAGGCTTTTTGTAATTACAAATGATAAGGTTTTGCAAAATTAAGTAACACAGAATCTACGAAGAGTGTCAGGTTTGATGTGTAACCCAATTAAAAGAAAAATAATTAGAAATACAAAATTATAAGGAATATAAATATATTTATTGAAAGAGAAGAGAGAATTAGTATGATACCAAAAATTGATAAAAATTTGAGCTTTATTATTAGATCATTTTGTATATTCAAAAGTGAAATAGATATTTTATATATTCCACTTTTTACTAGCTAGTCTAGGAAGGAATAGGAGTTATATATAATGAAAGAATTAAAAAATTCCAAAAGGTATTGGCTTAATCATTTCACCTTTCTCTAAATCAAGTGTAGCAATTTAGATTATTAATATTTTTAAAGTGATTAAAATTAAATAATCATATTCAAAAATTAAAAATAATTCAGACTTTTATAAATGTAAAGTTAACTCATAATTATGAAGAAAAGGACTAATCTTAAGAATGAAAAAGAAATAGATTAAAGTTCATTTTTCTTAGGATCTTTCTGAAATAGAATTATTTTCCTCTTTAATTTAAATTTAGTATTAATGAACTTTTGTTTGATAAAAATTCAAAAGAGTTTCCATTCAAATCATCTGCATTGAATAATAGTTTTATTATAAACTTTTTCACACTTATGTCTCATTTTATTTTTTTTAAATCAAAGACCTTTGTCATTTTAAAAAGTACTTCCAAATATGATTCTTTGAATTAAATTTAGATTAATCAAAGCATATGATGTTTTTTTTGTGTTATTAAATTATTATATTTAACATAAAATGAATTGTATTTATAAATTTTCATTTTTCACCTATGATAACAATTATATAAAATTATTTAGGTTATGAATAGATATCAAGTTTAAGTTTAGAAGAACACAATATTTATGTTTTATATAACACTGTTTGTTTTTTAGATCTTTAATTATTGATTATTTTTATTGATTATGTAATCTCTAATTACAATTTCTTCCTTCTAAATATATTATTTTGAAAAAATACTTTTTCTGGGTCATCTTTATTTCTAAATGAATACAATAAATTTGTGTTTGTATCTAAATGTTTATCATAATAATTATTTCATATTTTTCTATCTTCAATAATCACCATCACATGGCTAAATTGCTTTTAGTATCCAAAATTTATTTTGACAAGTATAAATCTTCAGTGTGTATTTAAATAAATATTTCATTTTTATATAGAATTAAAAAAATTATAACTGATAAAAAATGATGTTCTTCTAATAAAAACTGAATAGTTTCTCTTAAAGATTGAATAGTGATAAAAATATTAAATTAAAATGAATTAATGGCAATATAATAGAGTAAGAATATTTCATTTTGGCATTTAGCAACCTAAATTCTAAAAATTAATAAAAATTACTAAAATATTAATTATTTAAATCCTAAATTTAAAAAATGGGAAATGCCTGTTCAAATAATAAAAGTTTTTAGAATAAAAAAGATAAAATCTCTTAGCAAAGTGCTTAATAATAAAAGACAAAAAATGGTTAAAATGAAAACCAAAATATTATCTAAGAATATGAATGCACATATTGGCATTCCAATTAACATAGATGGATTTAGAAAAATTGCAAAATAACTCTTAGTAGATAAAAAGAAATTATATACATTATTGATGGATCAATACATAGAATGTAAATAATTTAAATTAAATTATTAGAGAAAAATTATTAGACTCTTTACAGAGACCTGAAGTTTTTACTAATTTTGAATAAATCTAATATCTTTAATGGTATGGGAATTATGATTAGAATCTTAAGAAGGTTGGAAAATGGACTGCTTATTGGAAAGGAAAATATCTCTCTTAAGTTGGTGGATATTACTCAGAGGATGGGTCTAAATAAGGTATTTGGAAGGAAATCATGAAGCAGTTTTGTGGGTAAATTATTAATTAAGTTCAATAATAGCAAATGTTAAGTATTCGAACTTGGAAAATACTAAAATAACTAGAAAAGTGGATTATGGATTTATTTTTATGGGAATAAAAAGATGTATTATTATTGAGTTTAAGATTTAGTGGTGGTGGATTCTACAATGAGCAAGCTTAAAAGAAAGGTTAATGGATAGAGTTAAGTGAGAACTTTAATGATGAAGCATAAGTTATGTATAAGGGTGAATATAAAAATGGATAGAAGCTTGGTATATGGAATATTTTGGATAATAATCGAAATATGTAAAAATATAATATTTAGTTTAATAATAATTTTTGTGTGTGTGTTTTCAGTGGTGGTGGATTATATGATGAAGGAAGTGATGGAGTTAAGTTGGGTCTTTGGGTGGAAATATTGAATGGTTTTAACAATTATTCTTAAGTAATTTACAAAGGTAGGTATTAAAATGGTAAAAAAGTTGGTAGATGGGATGTTTAGTTTCAGGATGTTTAAGAAAATAAATAGATGTAAAAACATTATATACTTATTATAATAAAAATAATTTGTGAGTTTTCAGTGGGGGCGGTTCATATGATGAAGGAGGTCATGAAATTAAGTGGGGTAATTGGGTAGAAATTTTGGACGGATTTTGTTGTAATTGTTAAGTAACGCACAATGGTGAGTATAAAAATGGCAACAAAATTGGTAAATGGGATATTTGGTTATTGGACAGTTAAGAAAATTAAAAAATGTAACAATAGATTATAAGATTTTAATATTAATTTGCTTGTGTATATTTAGTGGTGGAGGATTATATGATGAAGGAGGTGTTGGTATTAAAGTAGATAATTGGGTTGAACTATTGGATGGAAATAGATGTATTGCTCAGGTAACATAAAAGGGTCAATATAAAAATGGTAAAAAAGTTGGTGAATGGGATATTTTGTATGAAAATCAAAAGATGTAAAATATTTAATTTGATAATATTCTTATTTAAATAGTGGTGGTGGATAATATGATGAAGGATGTAATGGAATTAAGATAGGAAGGTGGATTGATTTGGATGACGAATTTTATTATAATAAATAAGTAATTTATAAGGGTGAATATGATTATGGCAAAAAAATTGGCAGATGGGATATTGAGTACAGGAATGACAGTAATAGTCAATTCTTAAAAATGTAAATATATTATATAAATTTTTCATATGTGCAACTGATTTCAGTGGTGGTGGATTATTCGATGAAAGCGGCAATGAATTAAAGATTGGAAAGTGGATTGATTTGGAAGAAGGATTTTATTATTTCAAACTAATAACTTGTATTGGTAAATATTATAATGGAAAAAAACTGGCACATGGGTGTCTATGGAATAAAAATGGAATAAAATGAATGAGGGATTCAAAAAAATCAACGAATGGAAATATGATAAATGAGATAATAAAATAAATAGATATAAACAATATTTATTAATGATTATTTTTAGCTTGTAATTAAATATGTTGCTTTTTTGTTTCATAAGTGTTTTTAACATGGCTCTTTGTTTACATAAACAGTACAATAATTACAACAATAAAGTCATCTCTTTTTCAAAAAAAAAGTTAAAAATGATTATAAACAGTAAAAGAATATGGAATAAATAATTCAAACGATTTCTATAGAATTTTATTAGAATAAATAAAATAAATTAGTATAGCATTAATATGAATTAATTCCATTTAGGGCTATTGATGTATTATCAAAAAAAAAAATAGTCTAACTATTTAAATTAAGCAGATACTATTTTCATATATATTTAGTTTAGAATAAAGTTTGATCTGAATAATTATCAATTAAATAAATTTATTATTTAATTTAATGATTCCTTTAAAATATAAATAGCTTAAAGAGAGTAAGTAGGATCTTAAGATTAAATAGCATTTTATAAAGAAATCTTTTTATCAAAAGTTATCAAATAACTTGATTAATCTAATATTGGAATTAAAATAAGTATTAGCTAATATAAATTGTGGATTTTTAAATCAGTGGGCCAAATATAAAATTATTGTAAAAATCTTAAAAATTTTAAATTCCTCTATAGAATAAGAACTATCTTATAGTGTTTGTCTTTTTATTTAAAATAAATATTTAATTTAATAAGATAATAAATTTCAATTATCATTTTCTCCATAAATTGAATATTTAATCTCTAAATTAATTCTTTATTTGGTCTCATTTTTCATTTTAGTAACTTTGACTGAGTGGATGCAATTTATTTTATATTTATACTTTTTCTTAAACTAGTTAAATTCGTCATAAAGTTCAGTATTATGTTGTAAAACTTAGTTAAAAGTACTTTATTAGTTTCATCTTTAACATTTCTTGCATGCATATTAATACCCCTCATCCCAATTAGATAATTATTTTGTTTTTTAGTTTAGTCTAGTTTGAATACTAAAATTTTGAATTATTGTATATTACTTTTTTCTTAATCTAAATTTTATTATACTAAGTAAGTAAAATTCATTATTAAATCCTCAAATTTCTTTTCTAACATAACCTTTTTAATAAGGCATTCACTAAATTTAGGTTAAAATGACTGTGTCAAATTTATACAATTATCTTTCTTTTCTTACTATATTTTATTATTCTCAAAAGATTCTCCTCCTTCCTTTTTTTTGGCTTAAATTCTGTCCAAGCTTTAGAAGTCGTCACTTTTCATTCAATGTTTTCCAATAACTCATCATGCATACAAGCTACTTATTATATTATAATATGATAGATTCTTCTTCTATGGGTTTTTATGGGATCTCTTCGCTTCCCAAAACCTTGATCATAATTTGATATCCTTGAATCAGCACCTCACTTAATGACTAGAACTGATCTACTTTACTCAGAATATTTCCATTAAGAATCAAAAATAATCCAAATTTTAGTAAAGCCGGCTAACTGTACTGGAGGAAAACTTTAAAAGTTTAAGCTCGACAGACATGAAAGAGAAAGGGGGGAGATGTACTAAGTGATTCCAACCAGAACTATTAAGCAAGTTTATGGATTAATCCATCAGTGTTCTTGATATTTTAGACAGCTCATAAAAAAAAATATATGAAAATCATACTAAATAACGAACTTGCACTTGCTAGATTATTCTTCTTTAGAAAATTCGTTTTTAGTACACCTTAAATGATGACAATTAGAGCACTTTAATTATTAATTTAAATAAATATTATGAACTAGATGTCTATAATAAGGTCAATTCTTCTAAAGAGGCAGTTTATTATATCATATATATTCAATCTAAATTTACTTATTCACAAGGAGAATGACTAGATTAATAAAAAGTTGATAATTAAAAATTAAGACAAATTTTTACGTAATAATTTAGTCCTCATAATTTATTTTGGGTAATAAATTGAGATTATAATGAAATTTCTAGGTACCTAAAAGTTAAATTCTATTCTCTTCCTTTTCTATCGTCATTTATACAATAAATTTAAAACACAGAAATGCATTAATCTAATGAATTTTAAGATAAATTTCTTCAAAATTAAAAGATAGAATAGAAAATTTAATTAAATTAATTTAATAGGATAAATTAATCCAATTTTTTTCTTTTTCAGGAATCAAAGCGAAATCCTTAGAGACCATTTCTTTTATTTATTTGATTTAACATTCTTATTCTCAAACATCTATATTTTTATTTGTGATTAATCTAAAATTTAATACACATATTTAATTTATTAGAATAAATTAGTAAAAAAAAACTCCGGTTTATCTGTGATTTCTTTTTTCTTCTTATAATCCTGCTATTCAATAATTCATACAAGAAATCTTTTAGAAGAGAATCTTTATATGACCTGACCTTTTTTTCAAATTTCTTAAAATTTTTAACAAGATTCATTTTATTTTAAATGAGTACTTCTTTCAATTTACATATTGTTCAAATTTTTATATTAATTTTAAAGCCAATTTGTATGGCATTGTCCTAAAATCATTTGGATACCCATGAAATAGATTTATTAAAGGTAGAAATTGCAAAATCACCAGAATAATGAAAATAGATTTTTTTTTCATCGAATAATACAATTATTCATAATAAGTATCCATATTCATAAGTATAAATTTCATCTTTAGTGAATATTCCAAAATATTTTTCCTAATGTAGAAATCTTATCTCTCCTTACTATATCATATGCATTTGAGAGGTCAAAAAATTAGTCTGCTTTTCCTTTATTACTATTAATTATAGATTTTAGCTCTTAGAATACGTAGCCAACATATGGAGTACATCCCAGTTAGGAGACAAAACCTATTTAAGAAAAGTTGAGATTTCTTGTACACCAAAAGATTCAAATTATATAAGATGTATAAATATCTAGTTGCAGCTCGAAAACAAATAAAGCCTAACCTAATTCTTTTATTATAGGCTCCCAGCTCCTGATAATCCCTTGTATCATGCTCGAAGCGACTTAAATCCTTGAGAATCATGTTACCCCGAGAATTAATTTCATGAAGTTGAAAATAAATAAATAATAGACGAAGACCATATAATAATACAGTCTTTGTTTGAAAAATGAATTGTGTTATCATAAAATAAAAGAAATATTTTTGGAAAGAGCTACGTATTTATTTCTTTTAAATATATAATATTTTGAGTCAGAATTTAGCTTATCATCTATGTTGAAAAGCATTTTGTTAAAATATATTGTTGATTATGTAAATTTTTATTTGTATTTATTGCTTAATCACTACTTCTTACTTTTGATAGTTCATCAGGATATCTCAATATTTTTCTGTGATTATTTATTCTTCTTGCTTTCTTTTTAATCATTCAATAGATCCTTAATTTTCTTTTTTGCAGTTCTTTATTAATTAACACAATGTGTCTTATATAACCATAAATCTGAGAAAGAATTTAGAAGTTAAATTCTTCTTTACTTATATCTCTTTTTCTGTTTACCATTTAATAATTCCCTATTTACAATACTAGATTCGTAAGGATAGATCAAAAAAATAAAAAAAATAGTATTAAAATTGAAAAAAAAAACTCTAAATAATATTAATTCAAAATAGAAAATAAGTCATTACAAAAAAAAGTTTCAGTAAAGATTTAAGAATTGAATGCGGCATAGGACTATTGGATTCTTCGTATATTGGCATTATAGTAGAGTTTTTAAAGGTCAAAGTGTATTTGAAATTTGAATAAATATTTTATAAGACAAATTCATAGTAAATTTAGAATTACTTTTAAGATAATAGATGGAAAAAAATTAGGGTTGAGTTGATGATCATCTATCTGATAAATTTGGATGAGTAATTTTATTAACATACAATATCCTAACCATTCAATTGTGAAGAACTAGATTCATGTCTATCTCG